GAGGACCCATTTTGCCAATAATCTCACTAATACTAGCAATTAACAGTCCTTTCATTTTATTTCTTTTCTTTTAATCTTTTTTTTCTTTTATATTTAGTCCTTTACATTTTAATCAGTGCAGTAAAATATTTTAAATTAAAAAAGTAAAATTCCTTTTCACAGTCATTCGTTATAAATCTTGCCCATCTATCCTTCCTCTCTTCAGAAATTTTCAGACTATTTTAGGACCAAGATGAAAATGCAAACCTTCTATTTAAATGGGCTTCTGAAATACTATTGGTACCTTGGATAATAATGCAACAATAGTTATGCAGAACTTTCTAATTCACAAATGACCTTCTGATGCCTTCACTTCGTTAGACTTTTTATTATGGGAAAATTTGAAAACATACGGAAGTAGAGAGACTAGTACAGTGAACCCTCACATATCCATCACCCAGCTTCAATATTGCCTTCATTTCTGAGCGACTCACTGGCTGAGTGAGGAGTAAGATTTGTCGTCTTTTCCATTTCCCAATAGGAGGTCTCGTAGCTGCGAGTGGCAGGGATGTGGCCTTCCGAGGTGTCTGACTTCAGATTTCTCCCATTTCCGATTTATTTGTTGCTGCTGTGTTATCTTATGTGACCTATGCGATTAAAGTTACTATCTTTTCTTTAAGATGATATTTCTTTAAAACGTACCTTACCGTTCTGAGAAGTTACGAGGAGCGTCAGCGGTTGCTCTCTGAACCCACTTTGTTGGGTTTTTCTTGTAGAAGAGACGTTCCAGCAGGCAGGTGAAGAGGAAGCGGTACACAGAGGACCTGGAGTTCAAGATCTCCGATGAGGAGGCGGACGAGGCCGACGCTGCTGGGAGGGACTCCCCCTCAAACACCTCGCAGTCAGAGCAGCAGGTTAGTGTCCAGACGTGTGCGGTGCAGTTGCGTGCGTGTCTCACGGGGCGGATTGGAAGTCTCGTGGCTAGAGTGCGAGAAGCTCAGTCGCAGCCCTGGACTTCGAGTGGGGAGCACTCGTCTCACGTTGGTGAGCGTGCTATGGGAAATCAGTTGCTTTGGAGTATCTTTTAAGGAGCCCTGTTTGCTGAAATGTTTTTTTGCACAAGCCTGTGGTAATGTAATTGGACACAATTTTGGAGAATTAGTGGTCTCTGCTGAGGAAGAGTCAGAGCTGGGATGCAAGGAGGCTGGACTTACCTCTGAGAACTCAGTGCTGCGGCTTCTGGGACTTTAATAAACCACTCAGGCTCGCCTCCCGCTGTTCGGCACCGTCAGAGCCCCTTTATGAAATTACTGTCTTGTGGTACCCAGCAGAGCAGGGCACACTTTATTCTCCGTGCAGTGTAAATGATGGATAAAATAGTTTGTATAAAATATGACTAGTAATGGAGGATTGATTATTGTGAAGATTTTTTTTTTTAAACCCTCTTCTTACCATTACTGTGCTTTAGTTAACAAACTGGGAACCCACTGAAAAATACATGAAATGCACTTTTGTGTTTTATTTGGTAATTTGTGCCATGTTAAGTTGTTATATAACGTGTGATGTGACCTCCATAGGTAAAAGCTGCCTACATAACAGAATGATGAGTATATTTACCCCATGGGTACAGATTGGGAAAAGTTACGTCTTTGACTGCTGTCACACAGAGATCAGTTTCTCTTGGCCACTGGAGTTTCTGAATGCTCTTTGGATGGAGGGACCTATGCTCGTCCATGTAATTAAACCACATAATCACAGAGTAATAAATACAGATCTACCTTTGCCTTTCTGTGGAGGGAGATTTTTTGTTCTTCACCGTCCTATTTCTCACCGGTTATTGTACCCGGTGATTTAAAGGGTATGAATTTAAAGAGTATGGAGGGAGATGCGAAAGGGAACGATTTCTTGCTTTTCTAGCTTAGAACGGAAGTGTTTTCCATTTGGATTCATTCATTCTGCTTTATTTTTCAGGAATCTGTTGATGCGGAAGGTCCAGTGGTAGAAAAAATTATGAGTAGTCGCTCAGTAAAAAAACAGGTAAGCACCATTTATTTAGAATTATCAAAAACTGTGGTGTCTGTATGGCTGGTAAATTATTTTTTTTGTTTTATAATTTCCTTTTAAAATTTCACTATTGTAAAGTAAAACTTCTGGTGTTAGTGCTAATCCTGTCTGATTTAATAGTGCAGGGTACATCTTTGGGACATTCAGCCCCAGATGAAATTGTAATATATCAAACAATCAGTGCTTTATTATCCTGTTTAGAGTAGGCAAGAATTCAGGTGTCTCAGGAGAAATGTGTGGGGCTGCCTCCTTCATAAATGCTATTCATCAGAAAATCATAAACATGAATTTACCTGTCATGTCTCTTGGGAAGGTTCCCTGCCCTCCTCTCCACCCCTCCTCTCCCCTTTACCCCTCAGGGAAGTTCTGTTTATTATTTTAGCAAGTGGGTGTTTTCTCATTCTTTTCATAACTTTTTTTCATTATATAATTAAAATGTTCATTACTATCTTTTTTTGTTAGTGCACAAGTGAAATACAGAACTATTTTCAGCATAAGTTTTAAGATAATATGACTTATCCTTCAGATTTACTCAGAATTCATCTTGATCTGCAAAAGTGTGCTCTAAGTACCTGTCACTAGCCTGGTGACTTTGTCACCGAGGGACGACCACATATACCGTGTGACAGCAAATTCCCAGAACACTGTATCATCTTTTACTGGTGGAGACTCCCTGTTTCATTCCAGCCATTACCCTTCTCGCCCAGTTTGAGAAGAGGCTTTAGTTTGAAGAATTACATGGACATCTGGGCGCATTTCCGTATTCCAGGAAATAGTTTCGGTGTCTCTAGAAAATGATCTACTTTAGGTGCCTGTCTTCTGGCTTGAATCGTCAAATGCAGCACTGTTTCTCCTTAATTGCTTTCAAGGAGGGTGGAAGTACAGCGTCATTGTTCCAACATGTAAAATAAGCTTTTTTGAAAAATGTAAAATGTGCACGAAGTGTAACTGCTAGTGAGACAGATAAGCAGTGGAGGAATTAGGGTCTTTAAGTGAGTTCCCAGGTTTATCGAATAGGAAATGGTTACTGTTCAAATACTGTCTAGAGATCCTTGAAAATGGTATTGCACCAGCAGCAAACCTCTCTTTACCTTTGCTCCAATACTGTTTGCTTTTCTGTTGTGCTACTCAAAGTGTAGATTTTTAGCAGAAGGTACAACTCTGGTTCATATGAAAATAGTCAAGAGCAGCTTGTCGAGGTATTTTCAGATAGTGTGTCGGGAGTGGGGCGTATGGAGCGGCTGTCTGTGACTTTGAATGTTGAGGATTTCCTCTCTGATGAATTGACTGTAAAAATCTCCACCAAATTTCCCACCTGTTCAGGCAGAAATGAGCCCTATTTAACTAATTAGAAAGGTTGCATTTTTGTCCTTCTAGTGACTCTAGACCTGTTAATTTGTGAATTGTAGATATGTGGCAAAATTTAAATACGTGCTCTTAAAGAGTAATCCCCTTCACTAACTGAAGTGACTTGTTGGAGTAAATAGCATGTGGTTTGGAGGAGAGAGACTAATTTTCATTCAATTGGTAGTGTTTCAGCAGGCAGACCCAGCAGGTTTGGGGGCTGCAAATTATAATTAGCTCTATTATCCAGAGCTGCTTAGATGACGCATGACGTAGGACATGGCTTTTTCTTTCTGTTTTGCCTGTGTTAGAGCTTTTTTTTTTTTTTTCTTTCCAACCCTTTAAAGACAGGTACCCACAGTTTAGGAGAAGGCATTGCTGTCATTTACAGGTGACTGGGCATATCTTATCACAGGAGATTAAGAATCACGATCGTTGTACTTGAGGGTGGAGTATTTGTTGGGGAATTTTAGGGTGGAGAAAATTAATGGAAAGTTTTTCTCTGAAAGGAGAAAGAGGCCTCGAGGTGTGACTTAAAATAAGAAAGAGGCACGGAGCTCACTGAATTGCCGTAGATGACTGGCATTTCATACAGGGCAATGAAAACCATTAGAAGGTTGTAAACATTAGCAGGTACTGACTTCTTAAACCAGTCATGTTCTTGAAATAGGTACTTCAGTTGTCAGCTTTAGTGACATTGGAGGAAAAGTGTGGCAAATAGAAACAAAAGGAAATTCGAGACTTTCCTGTGGATTCTCGCTGGGCCTGCCTGTCTGTTTCCTATTACCATGAATGATTGAAGAAGAGGCTGTGAGAAGGTGCCTTTGTCTCCTGCCAGCCGCGCCATGGAAACGGGCTCAGGGCTCTCAGCGCCTCCTTCCCGTGTCACTGACGCATAGTGGGGACTCAGGTAGCAGTTTTCAAAGTCAGCTGACATCCCTGCCATAGCCTCAGAAGGCCCGTCTGTAGTGATGGAGCCGTGCAGACTCTCAGAACGCAGCTGGCAGAACCGCACGTGACATCAGGGTGGCTCAGGCATCCGTGTTGGTTGAAACCCAAGTTCATGTTCATGAGACCCCCGTGGAAGGGGCATAGGTGATACTTGCCTTGAGTTTTGAGGTGGATTTTAGAATGGACTTTGAGCTTCTGTAAAGGTGAATTCTCTCACGTTCCACATTCATTTAGCATGTCACCCTTTCTGCTTTGAGTCATCTGTCTTTGGGGGAAAAAGGTTCAAATCGTTTTTGTATCAGAAAGTCAACAGTAATTTTGCAAGTGAATTCTGTATCATGATGTCCTGTTCTCTTCCCGAGTGAACTTGAATTTGGCGTCTCCGGTGGAAGGCACGGTAGGTCGGGCCAGCACGGATTCATACCTTTGCTTCACTGTTACCTTTACCAAGGTGCTTTCTCATTCTTTGTGTGTAATTTCACAACATTTCCGCCTTTTCACACCATAGTTTAGCTTTGTTTCCCTCGTGTGACTGCTTCATTTAGTAATAGCATGCTTGGGGAAGGTCATTCATTCTTTCAGGCCACAGGATTGTCATTTGCTGGATGGCGGTTTCAGAATCCAGGTGACGGGAGCAGTCGGCTTAGTGCCTGGTCAAGGTTGCTGTTTCACGTGACGAGTGGGACAAGCAGGACTTAATATGTTTGGAACTTTGAATTTCATGTGAATAATGAGGACTTGATAGACTGCTTTAGGAGTCTAGTGAAAAGATACACACATTTCTCAGAAGTAGTCTACTGGGCATGTAGAATTACTTTAGAGGGCTCTCCAATTGAACGGTGACTGTCCTGGAAGTAAATGTGAGTGCTGTGTGTGTGCGTGGGATGACGTTTGGTTCCGTTACGCATTGGAAACGTCCACTGTAGAAAGGCTTCTGAGCACTGGGGCGCAGGGATAGGGGCTGGGGCTGTCTTCAGCTGTCACCAGAGTCTGGTCAAACTGACTGCCATTTAGTGAATAATTAAAACGATGCTCCTGAGGGCTCACGAGTTCACATGCTTTTGTTCATTGTTTCGCTCTGCATAAAGCAGAAGAGGCCAGGGCGATCATATTTACGGGAAACAAAGGGCAAAACAGGTCTCCTTACAGTTCGGGGAGCAGTGAGGCGAACGATATGGGTGGTCAGGTAAACAAAGGCCGGCTTCTCATTTGGGACATCTAGGAGACAGAGGTCCTGGGACACTTCTGCAGCAGCTCCGGGTGCTGCTCCATGAGGTCTCAGACCTGATCACCTCCCCCTGGACGTCTGGCCTAGACCTCTGGTTAGGCACCTCCGCATCACGTTCCCAGAGGGACAGCTGATCGTGACGAGAAGACAGGTGTTAGTGAGAGCCAGGGACAGACAGCTGATGGCTTTAAGAGTCAGAGCTTTCTGGAGCAGAACCCAGATCAAATGAAAGCTGTCTCTGTTGTTCAAGAGTTGATCCCGTGTGCTTATGGCCCGTGAGACCATTTAGAATGAGACGGAAAGGACAGCCCAGGAGGAAAGATGCGGAGGAATGAGATCAGGAAATCATAGAGCACAGAAATGATAAAGCTTGTCTTCCTACTGCCTCAAAGATATGTAATTTTGAAAAACTCTTTCAGAATTAGAAGAAATGTAGTTAACATAAAGAAAGTAAAAACAGGGCGGGGATAATATTAGCTCAGTGGTAGAGCACGTGCTTAGCATGCACGAGGTCCTGGGTTCAGTCCCCAGTGCCGCCATTAAATAAATAAATAAATAGATCTAACCCCCCCCACCCCCGCACGCGCCCACCCAAATAAATAAAAACAAGAAAGTAAAAGCGGCAGGCGGACGTTAGAATCCCATTCTGGGTCTGAGTTTACTGGTGTGCTGTGAGAAACAGCATGCGATCTAGGCTCGTCCTGGCTGCCTGTTGTCCCTGGCTGTCTGCTGTCTTATCTCTGCTTCTCCCCTGTAATCTCCACTCCTATACGGAGAGGGTGAATCTCGAAATGATGGCTGAAACGTGGGAGTGGAATGGGGTAATAAATGTGAGGTGGGTCCTGGATGATGGGTTGCTCGTTGAATTGGCCAGAATGTATCTGTTCATTAGCTGCAGGTTTATCCTGTTGTCTCTTGAAGGCATCCAGCAAACATTCCTTTTGGTTTTGGACAACTGAAAAGTCTGGGACACAGATGGTTTTCTGAATACTTTGGTTCCAGGAGCTGCCTGATGGTTATGACCCTTTATAGACCCATTAGGGCAGAACCAGACATTGATGGGTTTTGACCACACTCCTGAACATCCTGTCTTCCTGTTGGTGTTCTCTAGGCAGACGGAAAAACTGTTTAAAATTTAGATTTAACTGACACACGTGAGAGTTTGGAAGACAAGTGTAAGTTCATAGTCTGTGATGACAGTCTGAAGGTTAGGGATGGAGGGTGCTCCTGGTCTCTTTGAGCAGATCCCGTGCCAGCCTGTCACCCAGTAGAAGTCTGCGCTCCTTTGTTTGTCCTCTGCTATGTTCCGACTTGCCTTAGTCTTCTTCCACAGCATCCCTGAGGGGGCTTAGCAGCCAAATGTGACCCTCCAGGCAGGTGCTCTTGTAAGAGTGTACAAGCAATCTCTAAACATCTGTAAATGGTGTTTATGCTTTACATCCCTGATTTATCTGATCAAATGTTCCAGAAGAAAATTACACATTACAACTTGTTCAACAGCCTAAAACCAAAAGGGGGGAAAATATTGAAAGAGATGCTTAAAAATCATACGTGCAATGTCTTCCACAGACACTACAATAGGTGGGATCAAGGGAGATGTTACAGATAATCCCGCCACTGAACTCTTGATTTGGCTGACGCGTCACAGTTTTAACCTACCCTAAATGTAGTATTTGGAGTGTTAATTTTATTTGGCTGCTGTGTGTGTGAGACATCTTGTCTGAGAGATTTTAATTGTACCACCGAGTAAAACTAAAACTGTGAATAGTGATGCACTGAAATTACAGCATAGGAACAAGGTTTAGTTTTATATGGTTTCTTGTTTAGAGTTATTAACTATATGGAGGAATAAATGTCTTTTAAATATTTTAAAACATTACAAAACCCACAATGTAAAGTTGCCATGAGGCAGCCAAAAATAATACATATGGCATTCAGGAGAGCAGTTGCTAATTGGCTGCTGCCTGAGAAAATGGTACACTTGGCGTCTACTTAACACTGTGGGTTTGGCAGAAAGCCAGATTTGGGGTCAGGTTGTTGTGAATGAAGCTGCATGTGGTTAGGGAGGAGTTAAAATGATTCATGTCTCAGAAGCCGGAGCACGTCGGGGAGCCCGCGCGGCCCTCTCGCTGGCCTCCTCCCAGCTGACGGCGGGCGCGTCGTCCGCTGCTGCTCTGGTGATGCCTGCCTGTGTCCAGATGGGAGTAAATCGTCCCTTTCGGAACGTTCTAGTAGACGGCTTTACGTGTGTGCCTGAAATTGTCTTCTGTTGCAGAAGGAATCTGGAGAGGAGGTAGAAGTTGAGGAGTTCTACGTGAAATACAAAACCTTGTAAGTAGATGGTGATTTTTTTTTAATGGGGAAATATATTGTCAAGGTACCACATTAAAAAGTAATTGGGAAAATTTTTTTATACTTGGCAACCAGTAAATTTTGGTATGGCTTATTCAGTGCCCTGGGGACCATTGCCTTCTAACTTCTGCATCTTTGATGGTTGATGAATTTTATTTTTCTGCAAAATGTGTAATTGGTGTACAGGTTGACTGGCTTTTGTGTAGGACCAAGAAGTTCTTTCTAGAAGGGATAAAGACTCATACAGTAATAGAAGAGTGGGAAAAGTCATATTTGCCTGTCCTCCGAGGATGAATTTTGCTCTTGGGGGCCCCTCATCCTCTTCATCCGGGTGGAGGATGCCAGGCCCTTGAGATGAGCACTCCGCTCCCAAGCAAGGCTCTAGAAAATTATGACATCACTCAGATTTTGAAATGCAGTGAGCTGTAATTTTGTTGATCTGTTTTCATTTCTAATTTTTGTTCAGTGAATTTGAATTGCGTAACTTTTTTTTGGGCAGGGTATTGGTAATTAGGTTTGTTTGTTTGTTTAATGGAATTTCTGGGGAACCCAGGACCTCATGCATGCTAAGCCTGCGCTCTGCTGCTTGAGCTATACCCTCCCCCATGAGTTGCATACGTTTTAAAAAACTGAATTGAAAACCACCGTAAGTTGTTCTGCATTGCAGGCGTAGGCAGGACACTAGGACCAAACACACTTGGACGAGGCAGCAGGGTTTTAAGCATCAGTAGTCATCGTGCTGAGGAAGACTGAGGCTGTTTTCTAACCTAAATCAAATTCCAGAACAAGAACAAAAATATTTATTGATGTTAAATTTTACTTTAAACTTATTAAGGCCGGGCACTCAGGAAGTACCATGTTAATAAGTTCTGGGGTTTTAAGAGATTTTTGGGGAGCTGGCAAAACAGCCTAAGAAAGTTTACCCCAGAAAATGAAGGCAGCAGGCCCCATGGTTTCCGTCCTTCCCCCTTGTTGCAGTTGGCACTGTGTTCATTAGCGGATGCATTTCTGACACTAGTGGGCAAAATATTTTAGCAGGTGAAAAAGGTGAGGGAGTCTCTTACCAGTGTTACGGGAGAGTTGAGTGAGACTAAACGTGCTCAGGAAACTTAGGTGCTGTCATCCTTTTACGCTCAGACCATGATGAGTTTACACCTGTGGAAATTATGCACAAGACACGGTTTCACATAGTCTTGTAAGGAGAGGGGTAAGAGTAGGTAAAGAGGAGACGACAGAGGAAGGCAGGGAGACGGAGTTCTCTGGTGGGCTTATTAAAGCAGACTTAAAGCCAAGCACTTTGAGGGGGAGGATATAGCTCAGAGGTAGAGCGCATGCTTAGCTCCTGGGTTCAGTCCCCAGCACCTCCATTTAAATAAATAAATAAGCCTAATTACCTCTCCTAATTAATTAATTAAAAATTAAAAATAGAAAGGAAAAAGAAAGCAAAGCCTTTTAAGTATCGATTGCCAAGCACGGCACTACTAGGATGACACCCACCCTGGTCGGTGTGTGGCGGGGTGGTGGGGCTTGAGGTGCTCAGTTCACGGGAAGCATCTCGTCCAGCCTGTCCACACCCCAGCAGAGTGCCCAGGTCCCTGAGCAGGCGCCGCCGCTGCGGCCGGGGGTCACCCTTCATCAGTCATGTGAGATGAGGTGAAAGCAGTGCTAAAAAAAAAACAGCTTTCCTCTCTGGTAGTATTGAGAGCTAAGGGAAGTTGAAGTTTCCATAAAATTAAAAGTTTTTGTTAACCTTTCACTTTGACATAATTTCAGATTTACAGAAAAAATTGTAAAAATTGTGCAAAAAAATTCCTGCTTTTCTTCTTATAATTAAAAAGCATCTTGTGACAGGATTCTCTGAGCCTGTTAACTAGCATCATTTTCTCGGTTGCTTAGTGGTGATTCGCCAGTTCCACGGCTCCTTCTGTGTTTGCTAGCTGGGCTCCTGCTGTGAGGAGGAGCTTCACCTTCTCATCCAGCTGCTGATTTACAGCTGCATAGACTTGTGGAATCTCATTCTATTCAGTGGATCACAGTTCTTTGCTATCATCTCAGCGTTTGCTTTGCTGACATTATCCCAGATCTGGCTGGCAGGAACCCCTTCAGTCTGGCTTCTCCCTCCTTTTGCCTTGTCCCCATCCTTCTTTGAGCACTTCCTTTCTTTCTGGCACCAGAGGATGTTCTTGACTCATCTTGCAACTTCCCTGTTTAAATCCTGCAGTTGGTCACTTCTCCAAGGAGCCTTGGTGGTTTTTACTGGAGAAGGGCATTTAGAAACCAAGATTTGGCTACAGGGTGTGCTCATTGCTGCTGGGGAACAATTGCTTCCAGGCCTCTCAATGGAAAAGGCATGCACGTGTACGTGTGTGTGTGTGATCTGTATGTACATGTAACATATGTACATCTATGTTTCATACACACATATATTATTTACACACATACCCTCTGTCTACCTACCTACCTAACAACAGTGAAAAACAATGCCTTTACGTTGATGCTTCCAGTTGTGTTTCAGTGCCACCCGATCCATTCTATTCTTTCCCCTTCCAATATTAATAACTCCCTTCTTTCAACCACGAGAAACCTGGCTCTTATTATCCATGATATATTTTCATACTGGTCAGTCCTAGAATATACAGGTAGCGGTTTCAGAATGACTAGACCATATTTCTGTGAAAAGGAAGCCTGCTAAACTAGGGTTCGTTCAGTATTTTAGAGTTTTTTGTCTTTAACCTGATAATGTAGAGGCTAAATACTTTTTTCAACATTTCCTCAGGTTGGTTCTTCTCCCTGCCCCTCTTCCGTGTGATTGTGTTATTTGTTTGATACTCAGTGTGGCTCATTACTTTCTTTCTTTTATTTTTTTAATTGAAGTATAGTCAGTTACAATGTGTCCATTTCTGGTGTACAGCACAATGTCCCAGCCATGCATATATATACATATATTCGTTTTCATATACTTTTTCATTAAAGGTTATTACAAGACATTGAATATAGTTCCCCTGTGCTCTACAGAAGAAATTTTTTTTAAAATCTATTTTTATGTATAGTGGTTCATTAGTTTCTGTTTGGATATGTTCCACTTTAGCCCATGCCTCATCCTTGTTGATTTTCTTTTTTATTTTTTTTTCAAGTTCGTGAAGTAGTAATACGGTTCAAATGTCAGACCTGTACACAAAATGGTACCCAAAGAAAAGGTGCCATTCTCCCTTCCTTTCTACCGCATTCCTACTTACCTTCTCATAAATCCCAGATTTAT